ACAGAAGCTGATACCCTGGACGCGTCTGCTGGGCCGCTGGGGCCGGAACCGTGGCTCAAACTCTCAAACCCATTCTCGGAGCGGCAGCGAACTCGAGTCAAGGCCAACGATCATTCGTTCCCAATGCTACCTAGTGAAACTAAGAACAAAAGACACCGAAGGGAAGGAGAACCAGCCAAATTCGGCGTTTTGAGCAGGGCAAAGAGGGCGAGAAGCCACGACAGTGAGCGCTGGCGTTGACAAGTCGGGAGAGAGAAGTGACCGCACGACTGGTTTGTGCCGAAGATGTAGTCAAAGCAGATGGACGGAGACGGCTAACCCTGCGCGATCGACCAGCAGCGATCGTTCGGGCTGCTGTCATTGGTTCAATGCCGCCTCTTGAGGTAAATGTTTCCATTGGATCCTCCAGCGCCAATGACGGTGCCGGAGTTGCCGAGATAGAGGTTGCCGTTGCCAGTGCCGCTCTGGTTTGTTCCAGAGCCGACGGTGTTGCCGTTTGTCAGGATGATATTTCCGTTGCCGTTGCCATTACCGCTCGCCGACAAAGAGCCGTTGCCGTCGCCTGAGCCGACGGTGTTGCCGCTTCCTAATATGATGTTTCCGTTGCCATTTCCGTTGCCGCTGCCGCCTGCACCCGAGTTGGAGTTGCCATTGCCACTTCCGACGGTGTTACCGGCTCCGATAACGAGGTTTCCGATTCCGTCACCGTTGCCATTACCGCTCGATGTGTTGGCATTGCCGTTGCCACTGCCAACGGCCGTGGAAGATGTCGAATCTACAACGTAGTTGTTGCTGCCGTTGTTCGATCCGTTGTTGGAGCCGACGTTGTTGTTGCCGTTGTTCGAGCCATTGTTCGAGCCAACGTTGTTGTTTCCATTGTGGTTTCCGTTGCCTGAGCCGGTGTTGCCGCTGCCATTGTCACTTCCGTTGCTGCTTCCAGTGTTCTTGTTGCCGTTATCGTTCCCGTTTGAAGATCCTGAATTTTGTTGTCCGTTGTTGTTGCCATTGAGATCTCCAGTGTTGCCGTTTCCGCTTCCGTTTCCATTGTTTGATCCCGAATTCTGATTGCCATTGTTAAGGCCGTTTGAATCGCCGTGGTTCCTGTTGCCGCTGTCGTTTCCGTTGTTGCTGCCTGTGTTGAGGCCTCCGTTCCCACTGCCGTTTCCGGAACCGACGTTGGCGTTGCCGTTCCAATTTCCGTTGTTACCGGAACCGGCTTGATTGTTCGAACCATTACTGTTGCCGTTGCCGCTCCCGCGATTCGAGTTGCCGTTATGGTTCCCATTCTTGTTGCCACCGATGTTGCCAATTCCATTCGACGAGCCGTTGCTGCTGCCGATATTGTTGTTACCATTTTTGTTGCCATTGCTGCTGCCCGTGTTGTCTGCACCGTTAGAGACCCCGTTGGAATCGCCCGTGTTATGGTTGCCGTTCTGGTTGCCGTTGCTGTTTCCGAAGTTGTTGCGACCGTTTCCAGCACCGTTGCGGTTACCGGTGTTGTAGTTACCGTTGTCGTTGCCATTATGGTCGCCGAGGTTCGCCGATCCGTTTCCACCGTCTTGATTGGAGAGGCTCGAGGTCGACCCATTGAGGTCTCCGGTGTTCCCGTTACCATTGCGGTTGCCGTTATCATTTCCAACGTTGTCATGACCATTCGTCAAGCCGTTTTGGCTGCTACCGTGCAGGTTGCCGTTGCCGTTGCTATTGCCATTTTTGTCGCCTTGATTCGAGACCCCGTTGTTTGAGCCGTTTAAGTCTCCTTGATTTCCGTTTCCGTTCCAATTACCGTTGTTGTTACCTTGGTTCTGGTAACCGTCTCTGCCACCGTTCAGCGACCCGACATTGCCGTTGCCGTTGCCGTTGCCGTTCATGTCGCCAACGTTGTAGACACCAGTCCCGAGACCGCCATTGTTCGACCCGAAGTTGCCGTTTCCATTGCCGTTCCCGTTCTCATTTCCGATATTGGAATTGCCCGTGTTGCGGCCGTTGCCGTTGCCGCTTCCAGGATTACCGGGGTCGGGTCGATTGTTGTTGCCATTGCCGTTGCCGTTCGAGGACCCGATATTGTTGAAGCCGGTGAACGCGCCATTCGAGCCTCCATGATTGCCATTTCCGTTGGCGTTGCCGTTGGCGTCACCGGTGTTACCCCAACCGGAGAAGGCTCCGTTGCCATCTCCATGGTTGAGATTACCATTGAAGTTTCCGTTGCCTTTACCAGTGTTACCGAACCCGGAAACGGCACCGTTGCCATCTCCTTGATTTGAGTTTCCATTTAGATTTCCGTTGAGGCTCCCAACATTGCTTTCGCCGACTGAAGCGCCATTGTCGTTTCCGTGATTGGCGTTGCCGTTGAAGTTTCCGTTGAAGCTCCCCTTGTTGTCGTTGCCCACACTTGCACCGTTGCGGTCTCCGACGTTGTGGTTGCCATTGAAGTTGCCGTTGAAGTTACTCATCCCGTTACCCCCCTTGTTTCCGCTGCCTACATTGGCTCCATTGCCTGAACCAATATTCTTGTTGCCGTTCCTGTTTCCATTGAAGCTTCCAAGATTTTCATTGCCCACGGCAGAACCGTTTCCGCTGCCCGTGTTGCGATTGCCATTCTTATTGCCGTTGAAAGAGGACCAGCCAAGGTTTCCGTTCCCATTGCCAGAGCCGTTGGAATCTCCGGCATTCCTGTTGCCATTCTTGTTGCCATTGAAAGCTCCGGCATTACCGTTTCCGTTGTTGCTGCCGTTGCTGCTGCCTGAGTTGCTATTACCATCGTACTTGCCGTTCGACCCCGTCAAGTGGCTCGGAAGGGCTCGAGAATATCCAGTCGAAAGTGGATTCTGTTCGGTCCGGGCTCTAAGGTCACGGAGGCTGAGAGCGTAGTCCGGCAGAGGGAGGGCATCGATTTGCGTGATGCTTAGCAGGAGAAAAGAGGCAGCGATGGGGATCAGCTTCATAGCGGGGATGTTGAAGATGCGGATACTGGAAGAGAAGTTTTCAGCGCGCGACGCATCTGTTCAAGAGGGGACCTCAAGCAACGTCTCTGCTTATATGCCTTCTTGGGCCTCGGATCAGAATATTAGGGAGGTCCGGGTGTCTCTGAAAGGGATGTACTGACCATACCGGTAGAGCGCCTTGTCAGCACCGAGAATTGACATCAGACAGACAGCTGCTCCGCTTCCACAGTATGCCAGACGACTTCTGACACGGGGCCGCTTTCCGCCTAAGGAACGGGACTCCAGACTTTCATGGCATCGACACCGGTCTAGATTGCGGTCGAGCGATCCCGCTCCTAGGCGGTGATTCGAGGGATTCAGAGGGAAGCCGTGGGATCCGAGGCTTGCTCTGCAATGAGCATGCGATTGTGCCGTGCGGCATTCTTCGCCTGACCTCGATCGCTCGTAGAGAGGTGTCGGCGCAAATACGCAAATACGAAATTGCTGAGCGTTGCTAGAGCAGGGTGCGGCAGTGCGGCTTTTTGAGCCAGCATATCGACATTCGACCTGCGCTCCCGTTCTCGACCGATCCGCCAGGGACAGATGGCGGCGGCATCGCGGGAGCGCTGCAACGATCAGTCAGTGACATTTGGCGACACGGCCATTCACACGTGGCGCTACTTGACGCGTCCAGATCCGGCTCGGGACGTAAGAGCTCCTGTCATGAATTCCGCGGTGCGGCCCTACTCGCGATTGTGCTGGGGCAAAAATCGCCGTTGCCTGCGGTCAGAGGGCCGAGAACGTGGGCGAGCCGCGGTTGTCGTGGGAACCCCTCTTCCGAGTCCGACGGGCCCGATCATTGAGCGGGCCGGCGGACATCGCTTCTGTGGTGAGGGCGGTCACTGTTCCGTAGCTTCTAGCCAGTGATGCAATTCTCTGCCCTAAGTCCTTCAGGGCGCATTGCAAAGTCTCGTGGGATTTTTTCTTTTACAGAGATCTTTCGTCGAGAATTCACACGGTACAGGCTGTACTGTGCATCTGCCCGAAATTTCTCGCAATTTTTCGGACCAGACATTCTCCGTTCGCACGGCCTACACGGCTCGACCATGCGGAGGTGGCAATTCCGCAGCAAGCGTCCACAGCTCCTGCGGAATGTTCGCAGGCCTCTAGGCCTGCCATTCTTCTTGGGATCTTGTCAAGCCAGAGATGAGCAGGATCCCATAGATGAGAATCGAGCTTTGCACACCTATTTCCCAAGCAAAGAGGTCCATTTCCGCCTTGTTCCTTCCGCGTAGAAATCGATGCGATCGGATGAAAGATGCCAGGCGTCTTGGCCCTCAGATTTCGTCAAGATGGTATCATGGTTGTTACGGTGACAAAGGGGACGTAGAGAGGAACGATTCCGCCGGCTTTCCATCCACTAATGACATTCTACCAAGCAGCTCTTCCAACTGCCTCCGCCCTGGGCGAGGGTCTGGCTGCGTCCAGCCTTGCACAAACCAGTTGTAGGGTTTTGCCGGCCCTTGACCTACGAGCTGCACGTCTCGGGCTTCGGGAGGATGTCGATGTCGCCATTCAGGAATGCGCAGTCGTAGCAGCCTTTTCCGTCCTAGCAATCCAATCGTTCGACAATGACTCACGCTCCCGTCAAAACTACGTCTTTCCTCGGAGGGGATCCTATACACTGAAGGGGTGTAGGCGCAGTGCTGAAGCCCCAGATTTTGGATTGATTAGAAGACAATGACGACTATGGCGTGACCGGACCGAGTCGAGAAGGTCATATGGAGACCCTCCGGCCACTTGCCCTTTGATCATCTTCTTTGCCTTTCGCACCTCCTCTCAAGCGGAAGGGACGTGGCGTCCGCAACGCGGCCGGTCGGCCTCGCTGGCAGGCATCCCACGTCGGCCACGCACTCGATGCGTCAATTCCATGTGCATTCAGGTCCTCTCTGCGCATTGCAGATCAGCGTGTCGCTTACGGAGCGTCCATTGATAGCCGGCCAAATGCACTGCTCTGGGTTGGCTAGCGCGCAACCAATCTGCCAGTGAATACGGTGCAGTACAATACGCCAATTGATGCAAAGCTGCATCGGGATGGAGTGCTAGCCGCGGGCGGCAATGTCATGATGATATGCCGCCCCATATAGCTCTCGCAGTCACATCATTCGAAAGTGAGGCTGATTGCTGCCTACTTGGACGGCGCGCAGTCGAAAAACCCGACCAGTGTGATTGCAGGTTGGGGTGAGATCAACGACGGATTGTGATTAGACAAGAGGCGCGGTACAGATAAGAGACGCGTGATCAGAGCTTGAGACTCTTGGCCCACGACTGGACGGTGGCGAGCTGGGCGCCCTTGAGGAGGAGGGCGTCGCTTTGGGGTTGGTTGGTCTCTGCGCCCTTGCTGTAGTAGCTGTACTGGTCGACGAGCTTCATGTTTTCGGTTAGCTCGTCTGCGATGGCTTCGGGCAGGAAGCTCTTGAAGACGTCTGCGGGGACGTTGTTGTAGGCGACCTTGGATCCGATGGCCTTGGCGAGGTCGGCGGCGAAGGTCTGCATGTCGGTCCAGAAGCTGATGCCCTGCACCGTCTTTCCGTTGGCTGCGGCGCCCGCCTCAAAGAGGCCTGCGACCCATTTTCCTGCGTCGGCCTGGATGTCGATCAGGGGCACACGTGCGGCGGGGTCGATGGGGAGGGTGATGCTAAAGTTGCCATCGTCGCCCTTGCGAAGCATGGTGTCGAAGTTCTGAAGGAAAAAGGCGGCGTGGAAGTAGGATGCGTTGAGCTTGTCTGCGCGGACGGATTCGGCGTATTCGTCGATGGCGGCCTTGCTGTCAAAGTGGGGTACGTGGAGGGAGCCGTTGGTGAGCTTGTTGACGCTGTGCAGGCTCGAGATGACGAGGTGGTTGACGCCCGTGGCGAGCGAGGCGTCGACGATGTTGCGGCCCTGCTGCGTCTCCTTTGCGCCGTCCATGGATTCCCAAAAGTTGGTCACGGCAAAGACGCCGTAGGAGCCGGCGATGGCCTGCTTGAGCGACGCGGGGTCGCTGAGATCAGCGCGCACCACCTCGACGCCCTTCTTGGCGAGTTCCTGGGCAGCGGGCTTGGACGTGTCGCGCGTGATGCCACGAAGCGAGTACTTGCTGTTGAGCGACGAGTTGTTGAGGATGGTGCTGATGACGCTGCCTCCCTGGTTGCCGGTGGCGCCAAAGATGGTGAGGAGCTTCTTGGCAGACATTGTTTGGATGGCTGGGATGTGGAGATGGTGATGAGCGAGCGGTTAGGGGCGAGGGCCAAGACGATGGATGCTGTCGAAGAAAGCAGATGTGATGATGATCTGGACTGGTGTGGCTTTGGCGCGTCGATGCTATATACCTTTTTGGATGTCTCAACTGCGAGGAGGCCGAGACGGAGCAAGGTCAAGCGTGGTGGAGAGGCTGTGGCGCGCCGCTTTCTCAGCTTGGCTGTGCACGGACCGCACGCATCGTCAACATCGTTTTGCTATGCGAGATGCTTCTCAGCGGGTGTTGCTCGCGGAGATACTCGAGAACAGCAGCAACGGACCCTGCAGCTGCTGGCCAAAGAGTGACGTCGGCTCCTGCGCCCGGAATCAGCAACAGCTCCTCGCCCGTCCCCGCCAAAGCAGCCAAGATGCGTAATCCCCGAGGCTCTGCTTTTTAGCGCCGGATGTCAATTTTGGCTGCTATTTTGGGCCCCGAAGAAGCCGCGGATGTCTGGTCTGTGCGCCCCGACCCTATTTGACTCGCGGCATCCGCGGCTGCTAACTCCCACCCGACCCTCTTTCTGGCGAGAAGGACCTTGTCGATCCTTCCCTCGGCCTTAGCATCCTAACGTCCATGCTCATATCCGCGTCCGGCTTTGAACAAGTAGACAGTACCGCGGAGAGCACTCGAACGACCCGGACGTATCGCACCGATGCTTTTCAGTCGAGCACACTCTCACGGCATCACAGTCCATCTCTCGGCGTCCTGACGCAATAGCACGATCAGAGCTCAGAAGACAGGGTTGCAGCAAACGACATCCGTCGTAGTGATGAATTGCAACACGGTTCGAGAGGCAAGAGCGGTGAGGCTTGAAGGGCCAGCTCAGAACTCGATCAGCGGCGACTCGGCGACGGGCGCATTGGCAGCGGCGGGACTCTTGCCCGGTCCATTCTGCCACATGCCTGCCGACGACGGCGCGTTGGTGTACGGGCTGGCCATGGGCGACGCCGCTTCGGCGGCACGTGCATCGTGGCCGAATCCATTGTCGGGATGCGGCGCCACGGGGAAGATAGGGAGGTAGCTCGTATCGGCCTTGGCAGGCTGCTGCTGCTGGTGTTGCTGCTGCGGGATGTTGTACGAAGCGTTACGCGAAGCAGTGGGCGATTTTGAGCTGAATGGCTGCTGTTGCTGCGGCTGTTGCTGCGGCTGG